TTTGTAGCTGTAGGTACAATTTCCTCTATTCTGCAACACAGTTAAAAACAGTTTCCTTTTCTCCCATTACATTTCTACAGTTGGAAAAAAGAAGCTTTTATGTGTCAGCCCTAGGTGTCTCAGATAAGTCACAGAGGGAAGAGACTGATGGTTAGACTGTGTGGCTTCTAATACCAAGGGATTCTTCCAATTTCCTGGCAATGGTAGGAAAACAATCATACATTCAGTGACACGCCAGATACTGACAACATTTACGGAAAGACATGAACATTACTCTGTTGCCCTGCCTTTTCCACCTAGTGACCATGAATGGCATAGAAGATAACTAAACGAGGCCACAGTTTTATCAATCCAGCTCTGGTTGGACCATATGTACGTGTCCACTTTCTGGATTAGAGAAATACCTTTCCCACTTAATTTTGGATTTTTCTCCTGGAATTTTTGATTAATAGCCCCAGGAGGCCTGTTTATGTGCAGATACATTTGGGAACAGCTGGAAAGCACTTCAAGAAAAGCCTTGGTGCAGTCTTCCAGAGAAGCGCATCTGTTTTGCTCTTTTCTTCCTGCACATGCCCGATCACTCTTTCCCCCCACACGCTGCTTTCTAATGTTTCATATTAACACATGCTCACCTACACTTCTTTGTCTTTTACCCCCCATAATTAAAGTCCTCCCCTGCACAGTCATCCCCTGCTGAAAGTTAATTTCTTACTGATGGTTCCATCTAAGGCATGGTTCTCTTTCACTCTCCCCTTTGTACACAGCAGTAGGCCCTCTCTGCTACAGAAAATTCAACTAGCTCTTCCTACAGTTCAAGCGACCTTTCATGATGCTCAAGGTACTATTTACATTCACATTTTGGAATCTAACTAAAAGCAGTGGCATCAGGCTAACAACCAGATGTGCAACCAGTGACTGTTTTAATAGCTTCTCTCTCCTTTGCTCATATCAGGAATCTTCTTTCAATCAGTCAAACAAAAAAAAAAAAAACAAATTAACAACATGAGACAGGTTTCATACCTACAAACATCAAATTCCCAGACCCCAACCACTCTCTAACACTTGCTCTATGATACATTGTAATTCTAGTAGGAAGAAGGAAATACATAAATTAAAATTATATGGATTATGCCCTAAGCAATAAATAACCAAAGATTTCTTTAGAACAGTAGCAATTTCTCTCTCTCATATTTAAAAACTCCAACAAAAAAAAATTTACATGCCATGAAAATCCTCAACAAAGACTTGCATGTAGCTCACATAATTGAGGAAGTACTAATAATAGCGTGGCTGTTTGCACAGACAACATTTCCACTGTGGGCCTGAATACTGATCTCAAACATGCAGAAGAAGATATTTTGTTGTGTGTTGCTTGCTGAAGACTAAAATCAAAGTATTGGAAACCATCTGAATGTGCTGGAATGTGCAGTTGGCCTATGCAGCTAAGGAAGCACTACGCACATCCATGTCACATTGAAACAAAGCATCTATTGCGTATGGCAGAAGGTGTTCCTGTTGCACACATGAAAGTAACCTGTGTTACAGCTTTAAACAAAAACAAAAGCCTTTTCATTTCAGCATCAACTGTCAGTCATCACAGAAAAATAACTTGTCCTGACAGGTCAGAAGTATATTTCTAAGCTCCTCTGACACAAGCAACAGTCCACAGCCACAGCTTCTCCTTGTGGTCTATGCTACATAAGTCCAAGCCTGCTCAGGTCTCCAGATCAGTGAAGGTATTTGCCAACTGGTACTTAAACTTTATTTTTTTTCTTTCACGTGCTAAAGATTACCCAGAATAATTTCACAAATGAAAATTTAGAGTACCATACAAGAGAAGAACCAATGAGGATGATTAATAGTGATCAATACATAGCAAAAATTCACTGACATGCAAAATATGTATATGGCAAGCCCTCATTTCAGATATGATGATGCTTCATTTAAACTCTTCAGCTGGAAATCTGGTTCAGTAATTAAGTCATAATCCTATAAAATTGACTCTCACAGTATCAGTCTGAGTTCTGTGCGCAGAATAAGCTGTAAGAACAACCTACTAGGTCCACATAAAAGGCATTTATAACTGTAAGGACCAAAACCCTTGCATAGTAGATGTTATGTTGTCGTGTCACTAATATGACCACCCTCAACTCATTAGCTCCCACAAAAACACAGAGCAAGGTTTGTTGTTTAACAACTCCAACCTGGCCCACTATGCTGTAATTCATTAAAAATAAGGAAGATGCTTATCCTTGAGTAAAGGACACCACAGAAAGATCATATGACTGTCACACCACTCAGGAGCTGCCATGACACAGCCGTTCCACAGCTTGGGATGCTTCCCAGTCCTTGTGTATGTTCAGGCCAACAATGCCGCCTGTGTTAGAAACACAGTCCCTTTACCAACTCCACAATCATCGGAAGGGCAAGGTGGAGGCCAGATCCAGCCAAGAGCCACTTCCACCCACCTTGCTGCGTTTTCTCTCATGATCTAGCAGGGAGACCACAGGCAAGAGGCAAGAAGTCTTACTGGTAATACATGAAGTCCAGATCATGCCACATGCCAGACAGTTTTGTCAGCTGCTGGCATCTTACATCAACTAAATACCTCACCAGATATTCCCAGTCTGCGCTCCATACCTGCACACATGCCACACCATGAGCTACAGTGGCCAACTCTCACATCTGCCTTAATCTGAGCAAAGAACACACCACAGAGCAAAACTGTTCCGTATTAGAGACCATCCTCATTTTCAGAGGGCAAGACCACATGAACACTACTTGGAACAGGTGACAAGGCTTTTGACCTTAGACCAAACATTCCCTCCAAGGAAGACTTTATTCTGCATCCTTATTGCTCACCTTAATGAGCTATATAAAAAACCCACAATTTTCTCACATAAGTGAACACACCAAAACTTAGTGTTTTCAAATGAATGATTTGCAGAATCACACCACTAGCGATAACTTGGATGTCCTATTCCTCTAAGAAAAAAGCTCCTATGGGGCCTTCCCCCCCGCAACCTCTCTCTGTAGAGACAAAGTGCTCCTAATGTTCAAAACTCTACAAGGTGCTGCTGATCAGCACCAGTTAAGAGGTTTTGTGAACTAATACCTCCTTGCACCAGCCTTCACATAGAGAGGTGCACCTGAAGTCACAACTGAGGCTATCAAATACTGCAGTCTTCCCAATTTTCAGTCCATGACACCATGAACTGGGGAGCTCCCATACAAAATTCTGAGCCACACCAACGTTAGCAGATCTGGCTTGTGTGCTGTAGCATGTTGATGGGAACTCTGATATTATCAGTGGATGACAGGACCTACTACTCTAGGGTCCCACAGGGAGCCAGTGGGATGCACAGCTGGGTCCCAAGATGGTGAGTACATAAATGTAACAATATGTAATTGATGAGAGGGTCTAACTTTCTTTATTATTATTAATCATACATCACACCAATTATGAGCCAGTCTTAGAGGGCAGGTAGATCACTATGTCACAAGATTTCATACGCTGCTTGAGAAGAAAAACTAAAAACAATAGAGGTCATGGCTGGCAGATCCTCACAATCCTCATACAAAGGCTCCTCTGCTTCAACCACGTAAGGTTCCTGTTGCCTGGACAAGCCTGCAAGGCTATACCCAAGAACAATCCAGGCCTTCCCTGAGCTTTTCCAAAATGAGGGAGTACTGTGATTCCGGAGTCAGCCTTAGCTCTTATTCAGAAGAGATTTTTAAACCTAGGCTTGGTACAACAGAGATGGAATGACAAAACATTGCAAGGTACCCCAAACTGAATGAGACATAAAAGGAAGAGGAACCAAAGGTTTAGAGTAACCATTAGCTGTAATCACAAACTGATGGCACTGCAAGATAAGGAAAAGAATAGTTACAAATCTAGAAGAGTGGTATAGTTCTGCTCTGTAGCTCTAAGGGTGGGACAGAAACACAGCCCAGAAGGAACTGTTACTCCTGCAGATTACTGAACACCTTGGTCCATACCAAAACACGTCCACACTTCTGTAGTGGAAACCATTGAGGCAGAGAGGCCAAGCAGGCCCATCTGAAAGCTAAAGTTCAGCAAGCCCCAAAACATTAGAGTTCACAGCAGTAACAAAACCTTTCTACAGGAATGTGAGAAAGGTATCAGCAGAGAGAAACTTGGGGTGAAAGTCTATGCCAGCATGCAATGAGCAGGTCACCTGGCAAATGATTCTGATTTCCATCACTCAAAGGTGTTCTTGGAAGAATATCTGCAACACACGCGGGCAGGCACAGAGAAAGGGTTGAAGCAAAGTGTGCTGGCAGAGGCCTCCTGATGACCTACAGCCCTACATCCCCACATCCCCAGATCTGCTCTCTCTGCACCACGATGGGATTTTCCCGTGAAAACTCCACACGGCTCCTGAAGGCTGTATCCCAATGGGTGATGTGCACCACCAGCATGGGCAATGTACAAATAACATATTACTAATTAACCAGCAGCGACAAGACGAATGCAGGCTACAGTAATCAGTGAGGAGACAGGAGCCGTCCCGGCTCTACGTAAGGCAGCTTTCAGCGAGGTAAACAACCGGGGCAGCCCCGTGCCCCGAAAGGAGCCACACGGCTGTACCACAGGGCCTTACCCTCACCACATCCCCAGCGGTGCCGGCCAGCGGTCGCTCCACGCTGCTGCCAGGCGGGGCTCAGACCCGAACGGCAGGCGCAGAGCCGGGGGAGGCCGAGGCCACGGGGATCCCGCCAGCCGCCCGCCCTAGGTGAGCGCCGCCTCCACCGGGCCACGCCGCAGCACCCCCCGCTTCCCCTTCTGTGCCAGGGCGGCAGCGGCAACGCCGCTGCGGGACAAAGCCCGAGCACGGCCACACACGTGCCCCATCGGCTGCACACCTACCGGAGCAGCGGCCACCGCCGCCGAGGCAGCTCCCAGCGAGGGCAGGTGCGGCAGCCAGCGACCGCGGCACAGCAGAACCCCCGCCTCCCGCGCTCTACGCCGCCACCCGCACCGCGGTCTCACCTCGGCCAGCAGCAGCAGCAGCAGCAGCAGGCAGGGCAGGGGCAGCAGCCGCCTCATGGTGGCGGAGAGCGCTCCCCGCTGCGCGCACGGCCGCTCAGCCCTACGCCGCCTCCCCCGGAGACATGGCCGGGCTGCGCGCCTCGCACCGCCCGGCGGCCCACCCCTTCACCGCCCTCACAGGCGGCAGCGGTGGCGGCGCCTCAGTCTCCCGGCGCTCCCTCTAGCGCTCCGTGACGGGAAAGGCGCGTTCTTTAGAGCCGCCAGTGAGGGGAAAGCCCTGGGCGGGCCGGAGTGAGGGGCGAGCAGCACTGCCGCCTGCCGAGGGCTGGGCTGGGCTGGTCACATCCCTCCGCCGCCACTCCCGCCAGCCTTTCACCCGGGGCGTAAATGGCCGTCTTGCCCGGCCGGGGGGGAGGGTCGCGGCTGACGCTTCCGCGCCTTCACCCCTCCCGCTCGGCATCTGACATGTCCTCCCGGAGGACCAGGCGAGAAAGTCTCTCACGGAAAGTTTGCCAGCCTTCCTGCACGCCCTGTGGGGAAGCGGCGCCGCGGGACGGGCCCCACCGCCCGCCCCGGCATTGGAGTGGCGCTCAGCGATGGGCGATAAGCCGCCGGTGGTAAAATGAAGTAAATCCAGGCCTCGGGGTCCTCTACTACTCTCCACTCCGCTGGCGAGAGGGGAGAGCGGCCACGGCCCCACACGGCCCCTCGGGGGCCCGGGCGGGTGAGGGGCACTGAGCGGCTCCGCTTATTGTGCTATTCATCACCCATAGGCAGTCGCCCCAAGAAGTTCTGTCCCTCTCCGGGCACTGGTTTAGACATGTTTAGTTCATGTCATCAAAAAGGACATGACAGCATGAAACACAATCATTTTTATAACCTTAACTTAATTCCCAGGATAATGCACTGTTTCACACTCATTCATCTTGGATAAGGGAAAAGGAGAAACAGGGTCAGCTTACATAGCATATCTTTAATTATGGAAACACTGGCAGTCTTATTTTTCTCAAGAGTTTTGAGATCACATGTTTGTAATTTCCCTGTCTTTCCTGAGCCCTCAAAACATGTGCATAGCATTAGGAAGCAACTATTTCCACAGGAGTTCATGGGAAGACTCACAAGAATAAGGGCATTGGCACTGTTCAGCCTCAAGAAGGCTCCAGGGAGACCTTATTGTGGCCTTCCAATACTTGAAGGGAGCTCTTGAGAAAGACAGGACAGACTTTTTAGCGGGGGCTGTTATGATAGGGCAAGGGGTAATGGTTTTAAGCTGAAACAGGGCAGATTCAGACTAGATGTAAGGAAGAAATTTTTTACAATGAGGTTGGTAAAACACTGACGCAGATTTCCCAGAGAGATGGTAGATGCCCAGTCCCTGGAAACATTCAAGGTGAGGCTGGACAGTGTTCTGAGCAACCTACTCTAGTTGAAGATGTCCCTGTTCATTGTAGGGAGGCTGGACTAGAAGACCTTTAAAGGTCCCTTCCAACCAAAACTATTCCATGATTCTGTAAAGTCATGCACACGCCTTGCTGCTTGGGAAGCCAAGACTTAGGTTTGGAGTTAGATAAACAATGTGGGAGCATCCCTTCGTATCAATAGGATTTGTAGGAATAATTATTTCAGAAAAGTACTTTTACAATGTTAGGGAGCATTCAAATAAGGAAATAAACACTATAAAAAAAACCACTAATAAACTCACCTTTTCTACACTTTCCATTTAGCACAAAGCACCTGAGGATTATTTTCCAGTGAAGGCTCCTCCTGGTAAACCACACGCATGCCAGAAGTCTCACTGGCTGCAGTGAAGTTGTTATGCTGAGATACCTTCTGCAGAACAAATCCTACCATTCAGAAATTACAGTTCTGACTCTTAAAAAAAAAAAAAAAATTCTTTGTTGCAGCTCCTTGTGCCTGGGCAGAGCCCAGTGGTTCTAAGTTGCCAAACTGCAGCTTCTGGCCAGGCAGGGTCTCACTTGCATCTAAAACACAACCAACCACCTTTGTTGTGGAAGATCAGGGTTGCACTGCACAGCTGCACTTGAGCAATCGTACTTGGTCAACCTTGGCTCCAACTCAGTGAGAACAACATGGCTTTTTTAATTGCATGCCTTTCCAGTACAACAACCTAGTAACTACTCCAGTTACCTCTGAAATTCAGTGTGAATCTCTCCAGTGATTTAAGCACTGATGGCAGCCAGCCCTGAGAGAGAAAACTAAAAAAAAAAAAGAAAATAAAAAAAAAAAAATGCACTGAGACAGCCAGAAGTGGGATTCTGACCTTTCTGACCTGTTGAAATGTGTAAGTATTTTCAAGCTGATGTTGCCATCCTCAAACTCTATGTCCCTGGACTCTGAAGTTCACTCATTCTTCTTTCCTTAATATGGCACATGACCCAGCTTAGAAGCAAGGGCACTGTGTTTCTCAGGCTATGTTAATTCCTTACTCCAGAGGGGAGCTGGGCAGCTACACCAATATTACAAGAAGCTAAAGTTCTTTCACCACACCATGTTTGTCTGGATCCAGTATAGCTGGTGGGGCTTTTCACATACAAGCTACATGGAATCTGTGATTTACTACTTTTTCAGACACCACTTTGTGGCTGAGTCCTCACAACTACTCATATGTCAAGTACTTGAACCAGGAGGCCTACAAAGTTCTGGGAGACAGTGTCAATTCTGGAGTTTCCAAAATAGTAGAGGGCTACATTATATTTGCTTGCAGAAATATCTATAGAGAGTATTTCTAGGACTGTAGTATAAAATGACCTTAATGCATCTCTTTAATTATAACCATAACTACTGCCAGTCACCAGTAGGATTTATACATACTAGGTTAAACTGGCAGAAAGAGACCACAGGAGGCTTGTTACTGGTTTAGGGTGCATCTCTATTACCAGACCTCAAGGAAAGGACTAACTCCTTTCCAGAGATTTTTCTTAGGTGCAGGAAATATGCTTATATCAGGGACATAGCTGTGTCTGCACTGAATGAGTGAGCTACCAAGATTCATGGATATATGAATAAGCTCAGATATGCTGAAGAGGATGGTCACAAAAATAGAAAAAAGTGCCAAGAAACACAGGGCACTAAAAAGTGTAGTTATTTTGTAACATAACACAGAACTGTGATTTCCATTTGATTCATTGAAAAAAAAAAAATAAACCAACAACCTAGTAGCAATCGAATATTTTTTTGTAGGTTCGGGTTCTGATGGAATGTTTTTCTCCAGAATGTTTAAAACTCTTAGAGGAATGTTCCAAAAAGCTTTTTTGATTAGATTTTGAGAGCTCTGTGGAGAAAGAATCACATGTGTACCTGATTGCTTCCTTGGATCAATGCCCCTGCCCTTTATAGCATGCTCTGGTTGACTTCACATGCTGAAAATAGAAAAGACAAATTAAAAGCCAGATTTTTTTAAAGTCTTCCAGGTGTTAATTGCTCAGCAGCAATAACCATCACAACACAAATAATTTCCTAGGAATTAGAGGCTCAAGGTTGCATTTCAGGCCACAGGCTCTTCACAGCTTGTTACTAATCTGCTGAAAATTCCCTGAATTAGAACTGTTTTTGCCTAATTGTTTCTATAGGTAAGTTTTGTTTATGCTACAGCCTTTATTAAAGCTCTACGTGTGACAGGATTATAAAACCAGGTAGGTGTTGCTCCTGGGCTAAAGCTTCTTCTATGCTTTCATCTGGAAGTTAATTTGTGCACCTGAGTCATAAAACCTCTTCAAAAAGAAGCATCAGAAAGAAGTGTTTCCTCATTCTTATAATCAAGTTTTTGAACAAGAGACCTAAGTTTAAAAATCACCTTGGTCTCTTGCACACAAACATAGGAAGAACGTGCAGTCACATTACTTTATGGGTGCTCCCATTTTATACAGTAAGGTGTATATACTGCTAATGATCTAGGCAGAGAGAAAGGGAAGACTTCAAACATATACTGACCCAAAGCCATTCAATTTGGAGCAGTTGCCCTGGCTAAGAATATTTCTCTTTCACTGAGACTGGTAACTAAATACAGTTTCTAAAAAAAAAAAAAAAAAAAAGAAATCATTATGGCTATATTTAACTGTATACCACAGCCAGCCTAGATCACAATAGTATATTCTCATTAGTTATTCACAGTTTCATTCAGCAGCTCAGTGAGCAGTGTCAGCCAAAAGAGGCATCAAATTGTTGAGTATCATCAGGAAGGGTGTTGAGAACAATGCAGACAGCATCATTTTGCCCATGCCTAGAACCCAGGTGCACCCACATCCTAATGTGTGCCGCTCTGCTCTTAGCATTGCAAGGACACAGTGGACTGAGGGAAGGTACTGAGAAGTCAAAATGATGTGGGTGGTGGTGCAGCTGTCTTACCAGGAGAGACTTAAAAAGCTGAGATGTTTCAATTGAGCAAGGAGGCTACCTGGAATTAATTGGATTAAAAACTTGTTCACTAAATACCACCTAAAACTAGGGATCAGTAACACTAACAAGAGATTTGTTTAACTGATACAAGAAAGTGTTTACTTATACAGGTAATGAACTTGTGGAATATGTAGTCACAGCAGATTTTAAAGGCAGACAGTATGAGCAATAGACAGAGGGTAGACAAATTCACAGCATGTCCAGGAAGAGAGAAAAGGCAGAGATGAACCTGTAACATCCCTAAACAGGGATGACTGTGGATGATGGGAATGGATCTCAGACAGCAGTCAGGTTTGTTTGCTCTTCCTAAACAGAATCTCATGATGTCACTGCTGGGAGCAGGATACTGGGTTGAGTGGATTCATCACTGGTCCAACCAAGTAGGGCATTTCTTAGCTGCTTACAGTAACAAGGTCCAAAACAGAGCCTCACTGTACCAAGTAGTGTATCAGCATATAGCAAGAAACAAATTTGCTAGCATCAGCTTGCTGTTTCAGTAAAACAGGTGAAGTGGCAAGGAAAGTATATGTTACTCCTATCACTCATAAGAGAGTAAGCACTCTGTATTATCATTTCAGACTGAGGTTCTAAAAGCACTGTGTGGTTTTGCTTGCCATTGTAAGTCCTCAGATTCAGACAAGATGGGATCTATGTGACCCACTTAAAATGACAAATGGACTTCTGTCCTGTCCGTCATTTCTCCACGCCCTGAAGTTATGTAAACCCAAAGTGCTCCTTTTGGTTGACATTGCTCTGGCTCTTACTCACACCACTTCTTCCAGTCCCAAAAGGGTCCTTCAGGTTTCCATGTACTGCTGAACTCAGAGGTGAGCCTTTTGGGAACAACTTAAAAAGCAGAACTACAAGTCCCTTTTACATTGCAACAGAGGAACAAGGAGAGAATAAACTAAATTGTATATGAACACAATGTACAGTGTTGTTCCAGGAACTTTTAATTAACCTTGAAATTAAAAAGATTGACTGAAAGGCCTGATAGTAGAAGAGTTGTTTTTTTTTTTAACATATACACAAAAGTAGTAACAAAAGAACACACATTGGTACAAATAGATTTTGTTTCTTATGTTCTTAGTTCAGGTTCACCTGAGCTCATCAAGGACAGGAAAAATACTGGACATTAAATTAGAAATCCTCCTTGAGAGCAGAGCAGTCCGTGGGAAAGATGTTACACTCATGGAAAGGTTATAGGGATGAATATCTTCATGAGTGCTGAGCACCTTTCTGGCGGTGTCAGTCTGCAGGCAGAAATTGAACAACTTACAACAAACACTACATCAGCCTCCATAGCAGTTTGGTGATAAAGCAGAAAGTGGCTAAATACTGCATCTGTGGAGAGTCCTACCACTAGAAGTGATGCAGAAAGGTTTCAGATGTTGGATGTGGCTCTGCTGGTACAAGCTCCCCACAGCCTGTAGCTGCAGGAGACACTGGCCAGGAACTGCTGTGTAGTATTTTAACTCCTAAACAGTAGTGTTTTGATTTTAGTGCTCCTCAGAAGGAATTAAAGGTGTATTGAGCTGCTGGCAGAGTTATCTTTCAGATCGAGGTTAAAACATGAGCAGACAGGATATTCAAAGAAAACATACCACTTTTAAAAAGAAGAGGAAAGCTAACTTGAATTCTAGTTAGGCTGGGTTTGGGATGGTTTTATTTTGACTGAGGAGGAAGAAAATGACAGTTTTTGTTGTGGTGGGGGCTAGCAGAGAGAACAAATTGCAAACAAGCTTTTGAGGAGTTTTTACTCAACTTACTGTACTTTGAAGTCTTGTTGAAACTGAAAATTATTTCTGGAGGTGGGTAAAACTTTCAATCTATTACATTCATTCAGTGGCCAGTTTCCTCTGTGTGCGAAGGCAGGTGGGTGAAAGGGTATCTTTTACATAATAATTGAAGGGAAAATATGCACTAAAACCCCACAGACTAGCACACTTTTGCAGCACCTAAGCTACTTCCTATGTAACAGAACATTTCTGTAAGTGACTCAAGTTCAGACAGACACCAGCTTTTTAAACAGGTCATCTTCTACACCGCAACAAATGGCCTCTGTTTCAGTGAGAGCAAGGAAGAGGTCACGGTCCTATAGCTTGTCTCACAAATGCAAAGTGCTGTGTAATCACTAGGCTTCTGCAAGGAGTTATTTCCTGGGTTGCAAAGGGCTCTAGCACAATAAATATACATCAGAGTTTTACTCAGACCTGTAGAAAGGACAGGAGGAAGGCAGTGTTCATGACAGGCAGTCTCTGTAGAGATTACCAAAGGGCACAGCCATAGGTCAGCTGCCCCACTCAGGAGAAAGGTCTGCAGTGGCACATAGAGCAAGAGGAAGCAGTGACTGGAAGAATTCTGGGAAATACTAGAAACTGACAGCCTGTGTAGCTGACAGAAAGATTTCCCTCCATCTGCCAATTTTTTTGTTCCTCTCTTCCTGCTCACAAAAGAAATGCATAGATGGTATTCAGCATATAAAACTTCAGTGGAATCACTTTCAATTACTATTTGTCTCCAAAATTAAACCATATAATCAAAGTGGAATAACACCAAGCTAATTTCTAACTTGCACTACAAAACGTTACAATAGCTGAGTCTGCTCTAATGAATGAATGGAATCACCTGCCTAATGTAAACTAGCAGGTGTTGACAGAGGGACCTCTGTCAAGGGCAGCAGAAAAGGGAGTGGCTGGACAACTTACATTGTCCAGAAGTCCCATCTACCATGATCTCCTACAAAAACATCGTACCACCTGTAAGAACTGTCATCTGAAGAAACTTATCAGCAAAAGAAAGGTTTTGTGACAGCACTTGCAAAACTGCTGATACTTTAAGAGCAGCAAGATTTTCCCATCAGAGGATTGTCTTTTCTAGAGTGACAGAAGATCACTCGAATCCCAAAGTGGCAGATACCCATTAAAGAAGGAGCACATTAAAAGGTTAAAAAATAAATATGTTGACATTTTTCTCAAAATGGCTAGGCCTCCTTTTGCCTTTCTTCTGACATTTCAAACTGGGGAGTGGGTACAGCTTGAATGCTGGGCTTTTATAATGTCTTTTGCTTATCCTCCCCAAGGAATATAAATAATAATATGGAGAAACAATGCAAAATTGCAGGTGTCTTCCAAGCATGATACATATCAACTATATGAGAAAAGGACCATTTATGGACATCCTAGGAAAGTAATGAGAGTCTTCAGGGCCATTTAACTCTTGCTCCATTGCAGAGATTGCCCCTAAAGGTGATGTAGAGACATCTTCTTGTATTAATTTCACACATGGTACTGATGCATGGACTATCTTCATAGTAATCTACATTTGGCAGTACTGTAATAAAGTGGGAGAAGCAGTTATTTGAACAATAATAACTGCCCTGTTTTACATATAACCAGTATTCTCCTGCACAAATACCTGCTTTAAGCTAAATGTCTCTTGCTTTTTACGAAGGTATGCAAATAATGTCAGGAAGCAAAAAGTAAGAGGTGAGGTTGAATACCTGGAGTGCTCATATCCACCACTTAGAGACCAAGATCAGCAAGGTATCCTGGGTCTCCTCTCAGGTCCTATTTACTGTGCTCAAACTGCTGTGGTTAAATTAGGATAGTTCAAGCACCTTGGCAGTAATACCCAGCAATTGAGCTTGAAAAGCAAGATGGCAAGAAGGCTAGGAAGACATCTGTCTGGGAAGAAAACAAAAGCTGACATCAAAGAATTATCAATTCACATTCCAGCTAGCATGGCTGAACTCCCTGGCTCTGAATTTACATCCCTGCACTTGCAATTCTAATGGCTGGTGATGTGCTCTGATCTTTGTTCATTTACTTGTCCTGTCTGACTGGAAATGATGTTTTCACAACAACCTGCTACTTACTGTGGCACCACAGCCCTAAACATTCTTTGAGACATACTGAGGCTTAGCTGGCCAAATTCTTATGCTGGCCTTTTAACTCTCAGTGACAGCTGATTGCCTGGCTTCTATACACCCTTTTCAAAAATACCAGGTTCTGGTTTTCAATAGCATCTTTATAGATACCTATTAAAAAAAAACAAAACAAAACAACACAACAACAACAACAACAAAAAACAACAACAAAACCAAAACCCCAAACTTCCTGCTACCTATCTATACAGCTTCCTGATGGTACAGTGAAAAGCTCTTGTGCTCACTGAAATCTAGTAAATGAACTCATAAGCTACAAATCAAATAATGAAGTATTCCTATTGCTCTTCCTCTATGTTCTAATAGTATGCGCTTGCATAAGAACAAAAATGATACACCAGCAGATTGCTTTTTGGAGTAATAGTTTCCATGTGTGATGATTCCACCTGCAATTCCTCAGTTAAACAACAGGCTGTTCCAAACAGACTTCTGTTCCCCATGAAAACAAGAATCCAAATGGCAAGGAGGCCACATCAACAACTCACAATAAACCTTGTGTGGGGTATAGAGCACTTTTAAAACTGATGGTTTAGATCCAACCTGCTACAATAGGTGCTCACCAGCAATAGTTCAAGTTAATTTTACAGCTGACAGCTTAAAAAGTAAAAATAATCTGTTATTTTAAAACAGAAAACTTCCATTTTCCTAAATATCCTGAACTTCTCAAAGCACATCTAAACAGATTCATGCTGTTGCAGCGGCTTTGCAGGATATGAAAGCAAGCAATCATTTGTTACTTTCTATACTTGAACTGCTGCAGAGTAGGGTAACTCCAAAGCAAGTGAGCACAGAAAAGCTGTGGCTCTACAGACTACATTCTCTGCCAAGGTGATGAGGGCTTGTTCTGTTTTTTAGCCCCCGTAAGTGATGGGCTAAGGAGCTGTACCTGTGACTTCTGTTGCTAGTTGGTAGATCAAGCATATAACTCCTTTCAAGTATATACTATATATGGATCTACAGCAGTACAATACTTAAATAAACTGTGTCACTGTAAAAACATGCATTTTTGGCAAGAAGTAACTTAACAGTGGCCAGGGAGAGAGGAAACCATGAGAGAATACGGTGGGGGGGGGGGGAAGCGTATCAAGGGCATGGCAGAAAATTTCTCCACAAAACTCATACTGCCAGGTGATACCAAAACCAGGGAATAAAAATTTGAAAGCAGCTGATCAGGAACAAACCAAACAATTCAGAACACCACCATGAAAGCAGCAACTCAAAAGCAGGAAAACACATAAAACTAGGGGATATTTTCTGGCTGAGGGGGCATTGCTGCTGCTGCACCATCAGCCTAAGTAGAGGTAGGACTCAATCTGTGGCTGCAAGCACTGCAGAAGTGGCCATAAACACATTGCATGAGTTTCCTGGCAGACTGTACTGTCATATTCCACAAATCAGACAGTGCTGAGGATTTCTGCTAGGACTAATCTCTTCATTTCAAGTCACTGGCTTCCTTGCTCTAATGCACTCTGAAACACTCAGCAACTGATACAGGGGGAAAATCATTGTCACAAGAATACTCGCCATGCCTATTTATCACAAGAATTTGATCAGCCTCGCCTGGGTCACAGGCAGGTGGGTGTCTTGTAGTTTCAAGGTGGTATGTCCTTTTGAGAGGTTTATAATCCCTGCAGCTCAGAAAAACAGGAGATAATGGAAGATGTGCTTGTGCTTCTTAGCGATTATCAGAGAGAATCAGAATGGAGCTTTTGCACAATTAATTCATTTCCTATATCCAGCATACTTAACTAATCTAGGGAAAAATCTGATTATGTTTCTTTTGTAGAACTTTATCTTGCCTTTATTATTAATATATGGGTTTGTGAGCTAAACACAATCCTTTTTGTAAGTTATTTTTCCCAGCACCAGTCTTACCTAGTCTATTAGTTCTGATTCTACCGGAAGTATCTAACTCAAGGATGCAACAATTCTTTGTCTAGAGTTAAAACCACAAATGTGTTAATCTCAGTAAACAAGTTATTCTGTTTAATTATCAAAACTTCTATTTGCTTCTCTCCTTCTGAAGGGGTCCTCAGGCTTTAACTTATCCATCTTGAAAACACAAGGATTAATCTTGATTGCTGTCTACATGCTTATTGAATGTTTTCATTTCCTAAACTAGCCTTATGGTTAAGACAGATCATTTAGATTTTTCTTTACTGAATTTAAGATAGGAAGGTAAATATTCTACTTAGTTTGGTGCAGTAGTTTTTCCTTTTCTTGTAGGAACTGTGCTTTATGGTGTGTCTTACTGGAATTTGGGACACTATATAAGCCTGGACTGAGATGAAGCTTAAGGCATGCATAGTCAAAAGAAAAAAAGAGTAGCTATAGGAGAAAAACAGAAGACATGAGAAATTTATTTAGCTATCAGTGGTGGTGCGACTACTTTCTAGAGGGTATTTGGCAAGTAGATTCCCTAATTTCTCTCCCTTTGTTCCTCAGCCCTCTTTTTCTGGACAGTGAAGACTGCTATATATAACCTATTAATTCTGTAACTCATTTATCCACAACTGTGGGCTATATTTCTTCCTGGTATCCCACTAACTACAAAACATGCTTTAGCCATGCAAGCTTTACTGCCTCATTTATCCTCTGGCAGAATAAGCTGGAAGGCAGCTGTTAGCCAACAGATAACCTTTCTCTCAGGACACCCTGCCAGTCCCCATTACCTCCCCAGACAATATCAGTTAGACACTGTATTTTGCAAGACAACTATTGGCTAGTAAAGTTAGTAAGAAAGTAGAAGCTGCCTAAATGAAATGCAAAGTCTGATCTTGCTTCCATCCAACTATAAATAATTGTAGTAATTTCAATTTACCTGATTTAGTTTTGCTTTAAGTGCAGCACCACCACCTTTAATAGTTTGACTGTCAACCTCAGGGCATCGGTTTTCTCCTTGCAGACGGCCCTGCATTTGCATCACAAGCAGGAAAGACTCCCAGCTTTTCTTGAAAATTAACTATGATTGGATCCCTCCTGATTGCGGGAGTAAGCCTGGGAACACGATCCAAGAGACTCCTAAAGGAGCATAACCGAGAAGGGCTGGGTTGTTTAGTTTGGGGTTTTTTTTTTGTTTTTGTTTTGGGGTGGGTTTTTTTTGTCGTTGCTGTTTGTGTGGGGGAGGGCAAGAACTCATGATTTTTAAGTTCCTCTAGTGATCTCTGAACACCTGGCAGAGCCAGAATGAAAGTCTGTCTTTTAAGGAGCTTGTGACATTTTAGTGGTCATGGACTATCATTCAGTCCTTTATCATCTTTACCTTGGATTGCAAATGGACATTCAAGATGCATAAGGTAAAGAAGGAGCACCTTGAATTCCTATGTTCCTGCCACTGCTAAAGCCATTTAGTGTCTGCATCTTTGACCCTAAAGGCCTGGCCTCGCCAGACAGTGCTGTTTGGACAAGGAAATTATGCCCAGGTGCTTTTAACTATTAGGCAAGTAGTTTTCCAGAAATAGCTTGCTGGCAGTTTGCCAAATCTATGTCTTCCAACAAGGAGAGCAAAATGTGAATGACCAGCACGTCATAACAGACCACAGAAGTCTCCCTCCAACTAGAGCAGGGAAAGACTGGGCTGTCCTCTCACCTCTTTTACAAAACCCTGGGCTAGCTCATAATCAGAATTATCTCACATAAAATTGCTATAGGGAGATTTTTAGAGCTACGTCACACTGCAGGAGACATTTAAGTGCTGAAGAAATCTCCTGAGTCTTAATAGAGAAATGTTTCCTGGGGGCTTGTGAGAGTAGAGCAAATAAGGAAGTGGTACTATGCAAACACTTGTAAACCCTTGGGTACTGCCAAAAGAGACCAGCCCCACCCAGCTGCCTACAAGTGGCAAAAGTGGGCATACCTGAAACTAACTGAGAAGGAAGGTTAGTGGATATATATGTCCTGCTGTCTTTTATTCCCTTCTTCAGAATTTACTCTTCCTCATGTTCCATATGGCTACTGGCAGATTTGCCTGAACTTCAGAAGAACTACTTTTTAGTTACATGGCAGTGTGCTTATTGATGGCACAGGCATAGAAGTATCTCATGTGTTGTAACCTTTCCCAGGCTCCAAATATAACTGTTTAGGAAGTATTTCACCTTTCTCTTCCTTGATCTATACCTGCAGATATCTTACGGGAGGCAGAACCTCAGGTGAAAATCCAGTACAAAAAAGTAAGTATTCCCTAATAAGTCTAAGCATGACACACATGGGGAGGCAAGAAAGCATGTTTTCTGGGTTCTGCCATCTATGCACAATACTCTGGCAGGAAGAAAAGGAGACTGAGAATGTTACCGTGAATAAATAGAATTCATTCTTTGCAGTAACTGCTAAGCAGCTCATGGCTCCAATTCTCCCTTTGCAGCCTTGTTCCCTACTGACATGGCATCTGTGCTCAGTCTTTCAGCATTGAAAGTTCCCTATTTCTGGAACCTGTAACCAGACTACATGACAGAAGATACATTCTTATTAGTGCTTTAGTTCCAAGCTTGGCAATTTTTAGAAGACATCCAGAGGACTTGTTTAACATGGATTGTAGGCTGAAATAAGAAAATGGCATGCTTTGAATGCTGAGATATTACTACTTTACTCTTCATTCCAGTAATGGCAAAAGTTCCTTTGCTGATAAGTGCTATACAAATACGTAAGATAACATTTGCAATAAAGAGATGATGGATAAAGTAGGAGACACAGAGAATGGAAGTTTCTTACAGATGGCACAGTAAGCTATTAAGTAGCTTGCCCAATGTTGCAGAACAAAATTGTGTGACAGCCAGAAACTGAGACTATGTCTGCTGAGTCATAAAACATGAGTTTACTCATCTGCATTTCTTCCCATTGCATAAATGCCAAAAGAGCTTGGTTGTGATATAATACATGTAAGTTGCTTAAATATAACTGAACTCAGTAAGCGGAGAGTGATTTCATTAGCTTTAAGAAGACCTTTGTCTTACAGAGGGTGGAAAATAAACTACTTATTTGCAAGAAAGGCAGTGGCCTACTTTTCTGGGTCACTGCTGGGTAGTGTCATCATTGTGCTTGGTTCCAACAGGGTGATGACTCACTAGGGTGGACACTGTGGCCCTGCTGTTGGTCTCTCTGCACATCTGACTTCCTTGCTTTGGGCAATTTTCATAGCTGCACCCATCCTCCACAGTTCCTCAGCTCATTCAGAGTTTCCATAGCCAAACTCAGGTCTGGAGGAAGCTATATGAAAATAAAGCCCATCTGCTACAGGTACAAGTAGATGCCAAGGGAGGCTTGCAGCTAAATGGCGATGTCCTTGCAATTTACAGCAAAGAGAGAAGGGAAGAGGGAAAGGAGGGAATTCCACTGCAGACTGAATCAGGAATTTCTCCTCTGGAAACTAGTTGTGAAAAAATGAAGGATCATCTTGCTTCCTCTTCACAGGAGGCCAGGCAAGGCAGAGAGCTGGCGTTAGCCCCAGCCAGCTGAAATTAGCAAGAATTAGCAAGAATTACAGTGTCCAAAAGTAACCTTTATAAAAATAAAGTTCTGGTGCTAAAATAATGCAATAGAGAGCTTCCCAGGAGGATTGTGGAAACATCAGCACTGTCCCATTACACAGCCCTTTGCATCTGCCTAAAAAGCAAACAAATAGGTAATTCAGTCACTAAAGAGATCTGATGCTTTCCGTGAGAGCTTTAGGAAGTGATCAGAGGGGCATGACACGGGATGGTAAAGAAAGAAATAAAAGGTGGGGCAGAGGGTCCCACTGTGTAGGAAAAAGCCTCCAGTTGGCAGGTGTTTGTTTGCCCCGACTGTCAGCCTCTGCTCTGGCAGATAACTCACAGCTATTTAATTTGCAGCATTTAAGCAGTTTGTTGAAGGAAATGTGACTGCATCTGGGCTTGGAGTGTAACACACAAACTGATGCTGTGTTACATTGCTGTCATAAACTACTTCCTAAAAATGTAAGAATAAGCCTCTCTGCCATTGCCTAGGCTAGGTTTTTGTTAAACATTTGCCACCAGTCCACATCAGTTCTGATGGAGAGATAGCAGTAACCTGGGCTCTTGAGCAAAACAGACTTTGCACTGGAATGTTAAAGGTCTGACTCTACAAGGAAGGGTTTTTAGAAGGCCTAAATGTAGTAGGAGCTCGGATAGCACTGACTTTGCACATTCCAGAAGGAAAACCTGTAACTCAAAAACAATATATAAGTTTCTAGAGAAGTAATTTTACTGTTCTCATCTGAAATGAGATTTACACATGCCCAGAACTTATGAAAAAGCAATATATTCCTCTGTGGGAGGCTAAACCTAAACATTTATCAATATAACTTTTAACATTCCCATTTATAAAACGCTGACCTTCCTCTTAAATACTGTTTTACTAACTGATTTTAAAAGCACAGAAAAAACTCAACCCAAAACCTTAGTTATTAAACTTCCCCCTTCCTCTTGTTTTGCAATAACAGTTCAGAAGCATGCACCCTTAACTTTTCATCACGAAAACTATTCTCATCTAGGTTGCTAATACACCCATAGAACTGATAAGCTAGGAATATTTCCTGAATCTTTTTTTTTTTTTTTTAATTTTCACTTAGTATATATTTTCATGCCAAGCAAAAGTGTGTTCTCTACCCACTCTGAATTCATACCTGAAGACA